TTGTTAAAATTTAGTTACAATCTAGGGCTGGCAAAGTGACTCAAAGGCTAAGAGCACCTGCCTAGCAAGTGAGGTCCTGGGTTCAAACTCCAGTGCCACCAAAAACAAGACAAAGCAAAGTAATTAAGTTGCAATCTAGATTTAGCCAGGTACCTGTGGCTCAGGTCTGTAATCCTAGCTACTCAGGAGGCAGAGGATCATGGCTAAAGCCAGCCTGGGCAAATAGTTCATAAGACCCTATCTCAAAAATACTGAATACAGAACAGGGCTGGTGGAGTGGCTCAAACCATAGAGAACCTCCTTGCAAGCTTGGGCCCTGAATTCAAATCTCAGTACCACCAAAAAGAAAAACAAATTTAGATACAACCTAGATCTAAATGTTATAAAGGGCTGGGGTTCGTGAGACCCTATCTTGAAAAAACCATCACAAAAAAGGCTGATGGAGTGGCTCAAGATGTTGGCACTGAGTTCAAGCCTCAGTATTGAAAAAAAAAAAACTGCAGTATTTGTTCTATGGTTATAATAAATCCAAAAGAAAACTTTATATAGTCTCAGAAAATGTAAAGAGCTTTTTTGTTAGGGCTGGTGGAGTGGTTCAAGTGCTACTGTGCCTGTCAGCAAGCATAAAGACCTGAGTTCAAACCCTCAGTACTGCCAAAAAAAGAAAATAGATTCTGATTTTTGGAGCTGTGGCTGCCATCTTGGGAATATAAGATAAGTACCATGAGAATGAAAAGCTGACTTGTTGAGAATGGCAAAGCAAAAAACTAGAAAGAGCTCTTTTATTTTGTTTTTGTAGTGCCAAGGGCAGTATGCATGCAATGCAAGTGCTCTCCCATTAAGCTACACTGCCTAGCCCAAAAGTTTTTAATTTAAATTTTTTTCTGTGTGTGATACTGGGGACCAAATCCAGGGCCTCATGCATGCTAGGCAAGCACTCAACCACTGAGCTACATCCCCAGCCCCTAAATTTTAATTTATATACACATTTTAGTTGGAAAGAATAACATAATGAATAAAAATGTCAACAAAGTACATTAGGCCAAAATTCTATGAACAAAACAAAATGGAAACTAGCTCAGAAAGAAAGAGACCAAGGAAAACTTCAGAACAGATAAAACCCCAGCTTGGGATCCAGCTACTCAGGAGGATCTGGAGGGTCATAGTTCGAGGTCAGCCTGGGAAAAAAGTTACTGAGACCCCATCTCAACCAATAAGCTGGGTGTGGTAGATCTCATCTGTCATCCCAGCTATGCAGGAAGAATACATAAAAGGATTATTGTCCACACCAGCCAAGCAAAAACCAAGAGACCCTATTCAAAAGACAGCTAAAAGCAAAAAGGGGTGGGGCCCCAGATCAAGTGGTTTTGCAACTGTCTGATATGAGGCCTGGAGTTTAAACAGGGCAAACTAAAAGAGAAATTAGAGAATTAACACTGTATGAGTTAGCCGGGCATGGGGATACACACCTATAAGCTAGTATTTGGGAAGCTAAGACAAAAGGATCATGAGTTCAAATAAATAAATAAACAAAAAAGGATCATGAGTTCAAAGCAAACCTGGGCTACCATAGCAAGTTCAAGACCAGTCTGGAATACCTATTGAAAGCCTGTCTCAAAAAAAAAAAAAAAAAAATTATCAACTGCAGCCAGCAGGTACCAGTGACTCATGCTTATAATCCTAACTACTTAGGAGGTTGAGATTGGGAGGATCAAGGTTCAACACCAGTCCAGGCAAATAGTTCTTAAGAGCCCCATCTCCAAATTAACCCAATACCACCAGAAAAAATAAGAATGTGAGGAAATGTTAATTAATTAGCTTTCGTCATTTTACAGTGTATATATACTTTAAAACATCATGTTATACAAGATAAATGTATACAATTTTATCTATGAATTTAAAACAGATTTTTTAGGTGAATGACAAAGACTTATACTGCAAAACCTATGGTAGATGATGAAATGTTCCCAAAGAAATATGTGTAATCTTAAAAGCATTTGCTAGAAAAATAAGAGTCTGACTTTATTTTTGTTTTGTTTTTGTTTCTCCCTGAGAATTACAGAATCATCTTGCCAAATTCCATATAAAGATTTGATAGGATTTTGATTGGGACCTCATTAAACTTAGAAATTAACTTGAGGATAAGTAAAATATTGACAATACTGGACTCAAACAATACTGAGCAGTATTTCCAAGAACTACTTTCCCTGGGTTTTTGTCTTGGTTGGTTGTTTTTTAGTACTGACGGCAGAACCAAGGGCCTCACACATGTTGAACATATACTCTTTCCCACTGAACTACATGTATACATACACGTATGCATACATAGGGCCTTAACTATGCTAGCAAGCAATCTTACCACTGAGTTATATCCCAAGACAGACTACTTTTAACCTTTTTTAAAGATCACTTTACAGGCTTTAAATTTTCTTATGAGTATTTTTTCCTATGTTAATTTTCTTAATTTTCTTTTTCAAAAATCTTACAGGTTTTTGAAATAATTTTCATTCTTATTTGTTTTGGTATCATTCACAGTTACAATTTTTATTTGTTCTTTAGCATTAAAGTTACTAAAAGCATTTTTAAAATTTCAAATTGGATATTAACACTGTTTATTTTGTTTTATTTTTTGGCGATACTAGGGATGGAACTCAGGACCTTAAGCTTACTATGCAAACACTATTTGAGCCATATTCCCAGCGCTCCTTTTATTTTTAATTGTTTCTGGCTTCCTTGTCACCAAATGTTATTTTCGCAGTTCCTGCTTTTTGATATTTGTTAAGGTGTTCCTTGGGTCTCATTTATGTCTATAAATGTTATGAGTAATACTATTAACAGAATGTACTCAATTACATTTTTTGTCAGTGATATGTCTGGACTCTTTCTGGCCATCTTATTTTAAATGTATTATAATTTCTTACTGTTCTTTTTCCTTCTATTGAGTTGGGATTTATTTGGGCCCATTTTAAATTCATCTATTAATCTAATAACCTAGGAGAGATAAAATCTAATGACTCGTTGTGTCTTTCCATTGGTTATCTTTAAATTATTAAGAGTCAGGTGTGGTATCTTATACCTGTAATCCCAGAACTCAGGAAGCTGAGACAGAAAAACAGCAAGTTCCAGGCCAACCTAGGCTACACAGCAAAAACCTGTCCCTGAGTGGTGGAAATACACACACACACACACACACACACACAACTAATACAGTGAGCTTTCTATCAACAATAAATTGAACAGTACTTCTAACCTTCCCTTTCCTGAAAATATCAAACTATAGAGGATTATTATTTTCTCTTCTTATGTCTAATATTCTGATAAAATAATCTAAAACTTTGTTCTTAAATATTGAATTACATAGTATTTCTAAAGTGTTAAAAAAATACCTGCATTTGATCTTTCATACTGTTACTAAATTCTTACCTTAAAATAATTTGTTCTTCTAACATTAAAAGATCTGATTCTCAGCTGGGCACTGGTGGCTCACATCTATAATCCCAGCTACTTGGGAGGCAGAGTCGAGGTTCAAGGTCAGTGAGGGCAAATAGTTCAAGAGACCCTATCTCAAAAATACTCTTCACAAAAAAAGGTTGGTAGAGTGGCTCAAGGCGTAGGCCAAGTTCAAACCCCAGTACTGCTTAAAAGGAAAAAAAAAAAAAACCATGTATGACCCCACTGTTTTATTTTTTCCACGTTTTATTAGTGCATGTTAGGTACAATGTGGGGGTTTCATTGTGGTATTTCTATACATGCATACAATATACTCTGATAATACACATAACCCTCCATTTCTTGTTTATCCCCCCTTCCTCCTAGACACCTTTTTATGTTCCTTGCAATTGTTTTTAAATGGGTTTCCTATACAACTGTTTTAAGAAAGAAAAAAACCATCCTCCAAAATATCAATGAAGAATAAATTTCCTCAGATTTGACGCTCAGAAAACAACATTGAAAATAGGGGATGAGCCAGGCACTGGTCGTTCACATTCCAAGCTACTCAGGAGGCAGAGATCAGGAGGATCGAGGTTCAAAGCCAGCCCAAGGCAAATAGTTCTCAAGATCCTATCTTGAAATTACCCAACACAAAAAAAGGGCTCGTGGAGTGGCTCAAGTGGTAGAGCACCTGCCCCGCAAGTATGAGGCCCTGAGTTCAAACCCCAGCACAACCAAAAAGAAAAAGAAAATAGGAAATAAAAAGTAATGTTTCATTGTTTGCTAAAGCATATCTGCAAAAATTTCAAGGTTTTTTTTTTGGCAGTATGGAATTTGAACTCAGGGCCTCAGGCTTGCTAAACAAGTGCTCTACCACTTAAGCCACACCTCCAGCTCCTATTTCAACATTTTAACTATTTAATAATTATGTCTGATGCAACCTAAGAAAACATAAAGTGGGCCCGGCACTGGTGGCTCACACCTGTAATCCTAGCTACTTAGGAGATGGAGAATGGAAAGATCACAATTCCTGGCTACCTGGGTAAACAGTTAGCAAGATCCCCATCTCAAACAACAGCTAGGCACACTGGCACACACCTGTCATCCCAAGCTATACAGGAGGCTGAGATCCAGACAAAAAAGCAAGATCCTATTTCCAAAAATTACTGAGCAAAAAGGGCTAGAGGTGTGTGGCTCAAGTGGTAAGAGTGCCTGTCTAGCAAGCACAGAGCCCTGAGTTTGAACCCTAGTACCAACAAAAAAAGAAAAAAAATATATTTATTTATTTATTTATTTATTTATATATGTTTGTGTATATATAGAGAGATAGATTTCATATATGGTACAGCCTTTGCCTAGCATGCAATAGGCACTAGGTTCAAACCCCAGTACCACCAAAAAATATCACATAAACTAAAACCAAATGTTACCAAAAAAATTGCTCCCATTTAAAACACAAGGAAAATTAAAAGCAAAATGCTTCAGGTAACAGAAAGCATTCTCCTCACATCACGAAAAATACAAGACTTAAACATTATTTTGATCCAAGAAAAAGATATTTAACTTACTAGCATGCTTGTCCGCAAGCATTATAAGTGTGTTGGAAATATCTCGTCGTCTATAAAAGCACACTACTTTTGCTTCCACATTGCCACTTGCAGTCTAAAAAGTAAGAAAAATAAAGGGTTACATAGGAGCTGGAGGTACAGCTCAAAGATAAAGTATGTGCTTACCATGCATGAGGCCCAGGGTTCAATCCCCAGCACCAAAAAACGAAATTATCTTAACTGTCATATAATTTATAAAACTAGATTCAGGACAATTAGAAGATCCCTTTCATTAACACTGTGTCAACCACAACCACAAGATAACCAGAGAGTTAAAATAGTCAAAAACAAATGAGAAGTATTCCTTCAGGTTCTGAGCAAAACTAGAATTTCAAATGTACAATAATCCACTGACATGGATTACACTCATTTGATTAGATCACTTTAATGACTAAAGCCCAATATAGTATAGTTAACTGTGCTTAGCTTTAAGAAATTAATCCCCTAAGTTTAAAAAGCCATATATAATTTATTTATGACATTTAAAACTATTCAGGCAGGCACTGGTGGCTCAGGCTTGTAATCCTAGCTACTCAGGAGGCAGGGATCTGGAGGATCAAGGGTCGAAGCCAGCCCAGGCAAATAGTTCACAAGACCCTGAGTTCAAGCCCCACTACTGCAAAAAAAATAAAAACCCTATCTCCTCCAAACCCATTCCCAGAAAGCACAGGCTAAGTATAAACCACCACCCTGCTCCCCAAATAGCCCACATTCGACTGATGGTAAAGTTCCGTAAGTGGCAGCAGCCATCACCCAGAATGGACCAAATGGCCTGAAAAAGCATCCTCTAATCCAAGGGAGTCTGCAAGTCGGTACAGTCAGTATTCTTAGTACTACTTAGTACTACTTAGTTTACCTTCACATATGAAAGCATTAAAAACCTTGAGTTATCAACACTGAAGCTCACTTCTTTTTGAGTATATTCTAGAGTACAATCTATATTCAGTTAGGCTGTAATTTACTGCAGCTGAGGCCCAGTCTCCTATTCGCCTTTGCTCTATGAATTCTGAAATCTTTCAAGGTCAATCACTCAGTACAAAGTTCTTTATAAAAACACATATATTACAATAAAATGTTACTGTCATTTCCAATTTCTAACAAATGTGAGAGCATGTTTTAGAATTTCTCTGGGCCTACAGACATATTAAAACATAAAGAAATAAAAATATGTGCTGCAGTAAATTTGCAGTTTTATGAAGTTCAACAGCAGTATTTCAGAGTGAGAAATGGAACTGTAGAAACACTGCCCTTTAAAACTGAAATCATATTAAATTCCTAACCAAAATACTTCTATACTTCACAATATTGTGATCAAACAAGTCCTCCAGAAATAATGATCCAACAATCTGCTAAATGAACATGCCAATATTTCTATGTAAATAAAATCTATCTATAACTTCAACTATAAGCTTTTTATCATTTTTTTTCTCATTAGTGAGTTCCTCCAACAGGGATTCCCTACAAAGATAATTAAATTCTGATTTAAACCTGCTTGAGGTATGAAAACATCATTGAAAATAAATATTCTCAGGGCTTGGGGTATAGTTTAGTGGCAGGGTGCATAACTGGCATGCATGTGGTCTCAAGTTCAATCCTCAGCACCAAGAAAAATTCTCTTCTGGAACACACACACACACACACACACACACACACACACACACACACACACATACACACACACACAGCGAGTAGAAGTTTTACAACTACAGTGCAGTATTCCTCTTTCCCGCTACAGAACACATGCGTACATGACAGAGCACTCCACTAAAGCTTCATTATTCAAAATAGAACTTCACTGCCCAGTGCCAGTCCCCAAGTGTCCCTGGTGTGTAATGAGATGCATACAGAGACTGAGGATAAGTGTGTTATAGAAACTGAGAGTTAATTTTGAGCCAGGTACCAGTGGCTCACACTATAATCCTAGCTACTTGGGAGGCAGAGATCAGAAGGATCAAGGTTTGAGGCCAGCCTAGGCAACAAAAGCCAGCCCCTATTTCAAAAATACCCAACACAAAAAAGGACTGGAGGAGTGGCTCAAGCTGTAAGGTACCTGCCTAACAAGTATGAGACCCTGAGTTCAAATCCCAGTACCACCAAAAAATAAATAAATAATCAGAACAAATGAATTGGAGGTGTGGCTCAAGTGGTAGAGTACCTACCTGCCTAAGTTCAAACCCCAGCACAGGAAAAAAGAGGGTTTTTTAGAGGGTTAGAAGAACAGCTAGGTAGTAGAACTCTTGCCCTGGGTTCAATGGTTCAATACCCAGCAACAGAAAGAAAAAAAAGAGTTCCTAATAATAAAAAATATTAAGGTTTATGTTTTAATGAGCCTTTTAAATGTTCTACTCTTCTACTTCTCATATTTATGCTGTAATTTCAAAGATTTTTTTTTTCTGTGGTACTGGAGTTTGAACTCAGGGCTTCATGCTTTTTAGGCAGGCACTCTATCAGTAGAACTATTTGCCTGGGGCTGGCTTTGAACCTGGATGCTCCTGATCTCTGCCTCTTGAGCTAAGATTACAGGCATGAGCTGAAAAAAAAAAAATTTTTTTTTTTTTTTTTTTTTGCAGTATTGGGGCTTGAAGTCAGGACATTCACTTTCAGCCACTCCACCAGCCCTATTTTTGTGAAGGGTTTTTCAAGATAGGGTCTTTGCCCGGGCTGGCTTCAAACTACAATCCTCCTGATCTCTGCCTCCTGAGTAGCTAGGATTACAGGCCTGAACCACCAGTGCCCAGCTAAGCTGAAATTTAAAAAAAAAATACTTCACCATAAGTACTTTTAGAAGCACTGCAAAAAACACATAGGCTAAATATGTGAGATATATATATATACACACACACATATAAAACCTCCCATGTGCCAAGCACTAAGCTGATACTGTGGCTATGTACAAGTTGCTGTGGCTTCCACTCCAGTAAGGATGCCTGTTCCCTCCCATCTGATTAAAAATCTTCACTGGTTCTCCACAACTAAAAGTAAAAAACACACCCAGCCCTACTTTCCTAGCTCATTTCCTGTTCACTCCAGCCATTATCTCAAACTCATAGAATCAAAAAGAAAGTATAGCCAGCTACAGGGGGAAGGACCAAAACAGCTTCATGGAGATAGAGATGAGGTCAAAGATCCTTGGTAGGCTAAGAAACAAGAAAAGTAATCGAACAGATAAAGAAGGAAGTACCCAAGTATTCCATACCAGGTGGAAAAAATGATGAGGTCTGAAAATAAGAACCCATAATGAACATTGATCTTTTCTGTGTTTTCTCCATTAAGGTTGCAACAGCCTCTTAAAATCTCTTTTTTGTCAAACATATTTACTAAAACACCCTCTAGCAATAAAGGGCTTAAGTTTTAAAATAATTTCAGTCAACCTCAAATTCTATCTTACTTGCTTTGTTTTCTTTTTGGGCAGTGCTAGGGATAGAACTCAAGACCTTATGAAAGTTATCTTCCTCTGAGCCCCATCCCCAACCCTATGCTCACATCCAGACTTCCAGACTTAAAAACTGTTACTTAAAAAAAAAAAAAAGGACTGGGAGTGTGGCTCAAGTGGTACAGCACCTGCCTAGCAAGGGCTGAGTTCAAACCTCAGTACTTCCAAAAAAAAAAAAAAGACTAGGTGACAGATGCCTATAATCCCATCACTCAGGAGAGGTAGAAGGATCAAGAGTTCAAGGTTGGTCTGGGCTACATAGAGACCCTCATCTGAAAAAAAAAAGTTAATACTACAATTTTTAAGAAGTTGAAACACTGCAGTCCTGCTTTCAAAAATATTAAAAAAAAAAAAAAAAACAGGAGTAGAACAAGCCTGGTGGTGCACAGCTGTAAATCCAGGTCTCAGACTGAGGCAAAAGGCCAGCCTGGGCTACACAGTACAGTCTATCTCTAAAAATAAATAAAACAGGAGGTAGCATACTTGCTTAGTTCTGAATTTGATCCCAGAACTACAAAAAAATTTTGTTTAAAAAGATAGGTATCGTCCTATAAAATGCATTTCTAATAAAGTTATGAATAAGTTTATCCTAGGAATTTTGTTTTTAAACTTGTATTTAGAGCATAATTACTAAATTAATGCCCCTTTTTCTTTCTTACTTATCAAGCAGAATCAATCTAGTACTTTTTTTCTTTTGGTGAGACTAGAGTTTAGATTCAGATTCACTTGGATTCTGACAATCAGTTATTTACCTAATAGAGGGAAAGAATAACCACATACCTACAAGGCCACATGTGACCTTACACAACACACAGCAGCATCAGGGCCTTTACAATTCTGGTTGACCCCCAAACTCCCTTACCTGCTTAAGGGCTTCAAACTTACAAAGCAGGCACTCTACCACTTTTACACATCTTTAATCTATTTTACTCCAGTCATTTTGAAGATGGAGGGAGGGGTCTCATGAACTATTTGCCCAGGCTGGCCTTGAACCTCAATTCTTCAGATCTCAGCCTCCCAAATAGCTAAGATTGTATGTGTAAGCCATCAATCTGGTACTTTTAAATTCACTTCTTGGATTTTCCAATCATGTTAACGTTCCCCATCTAGCCAATTTCACCCATTATCTTCCCAGGGCCTCTATTCTCATGGCTACCTCTTCCTTTTTTGTTTGTTTTTGTTTTCCTCATCCTTTAGACCTCAAGTGAAATGTTCTTAAAGCCCTTTCCTATCCTCCCTACAGGAAGTGATCTCTGCATTCTCAATGTCAAAGTTCTTGCATTTTTCCTTCTTAGAATAATACAATAAATTACTATTTTGGGCTGGCGGAGAACCTCAAGTGGTAGATAAAGTGCCTGCCTAGCAAGCATGAGGCCCTGAGTTCAATCCCCAGTGAATAAATAAATAAATTACTTTTTTCTTTATGCCTGTTAACTTGCCTTTCTAGGTATTCCCCTCATGAGAATGGAAACTTGTGTGGGCAGAGACCATGTCCATATTGTTCACACTATTATCTCTCTAAGCCTAACATGGTACCTGGTACATAACAAGTGCTAAATATATATTTAATGAACAGTCTAAAATGAGATTTGTGTTTTACATCCCTTAAGAAGTAAAAACCCCATGTAAATATTTTAGCATTTTACAAGTCATCTGTAAATAACACATGAGTAACTCCAGTTACTCAGACTTACGTTCTCTGAAATCAAAGAATACTATCTCTTAAATCAATCATCCCCAACTTCTAAAGGATCACTAATATATGGATTACACTCTCTACTGAAAAGCAGGCAGGGGCAGGGAGGAAGTAAGGATGGGAAAGGAGGATGGTGATGCAACAATAACAGAGTGTTCAAGCCAGAGGTGTAATCCTGTCATTTAACCACTGTGAGTCTCAAGACAATGATACATGCTTTATCTAACACACAGGTGTAAGACTACTGTGATGTTCAAAAGAGGTTACAAATTTGAATCCCCAGATTCTGTTTCTGGAGCACCACAGACATTCTAAACTTAGCACAGGAATAATTTTACTTTTATTTGCAGGACTACAGCTAATGCCTATCTCCATTAGATGCATTTTTGATCATTCTTGCATTCCCAGTATCTAACAGCACCTGGCAGGTCCTCAAAACAGGCTCACACCTGTAATCCTAGCTACTTAGGAGGCAGAGATATGAAGGCCCTAGTACCATTAAAAAAACAAAACAAAACAACAACAAAAAAAAAAACTATTTGCAAAATGAATGAATCAGTGCTGGAAATGTAACTTGGTGTATAGCATTTGCCTAGCATGTACTACAGGGAAAAAAAAAAAGAATGAATCAAAGTACTTTGCAAATAGTACAGTTTTATACAAGCATTAACATTAATACTTGAGAAATTCACTAATTCAACAAGTATTTACTGAATGCCCTCAGCTATGTGCCAACCAGTATCCTAACATACTGAGAATGTATTAGAAAACAAACAGAAAAGATCACTGCACTCTGCTTTTTGGAAAACAGGCACTGCAAATAAATAATATACACAATGAAGTGTGTGTGTGTGTGTACACAATGAAGTGTGTGTGTGTGTGTGTGTGTGTGTGTGTGTGTGTTCGTTCTCCCCCAGTGCTGGGGATTGAACCAAGATCTTCAGGTATGCAAGATAAGTGCTTAACTACCGAGATCCACTCCCAGCCTCAAATTAAATGTATTTGAATGGAAAAAAGCAAGGGGGAGAAGGGGTGAGTAACAGGATTGGTTACAAGGAAATAGTCCACCTAAAATGGGTATAGTAAGAAACAGCCAAGAGTCCATTGTGCTTGGATGAAGCAGTCTCCCCACCTACTTTCAGAAAGAAGAGAGGCCAGAGAAGTGCAGTGACATCCAGAAAATATTAACTTTCTAAATAAACTGATAAATAAAATGGACAGTTCTGTTTTCTCAGTTCTCACAATATCATAAAATCACATCATCAAAAAAGTAAAACCACAAAGAGAAGCACATCAGAATTACACAATAGGTCCCACCCAAAGACTAATCTAAACTTGAGGTCATTCTCTTTATTTGGTTATAGGTGAAAATATTGGGGGATTTTTTCCCCCCTGTACTGAGGTTTTAACTCTGGGCCTCTAATATGCTAGGTGCAATGACTTTACCACTTGAACAATGTCTCTAGTCCTTTTTGCTTTAGTTATTTTTTTAGATAGAGTCTCAGGTTTTTTACCCCAGCCAGCCTCAAACTGAAATCCTTCTACATTCTCCTACTATGCTACCTGCTAGATGGAATGAGAGTAATCCATCACTGCCTGGCTTGTTTGTTGAGATGGCAGTCTTGCTAACTTTTTTCCTGGGCTAGCCTCAAACTGTGATCTTCCCAGCCAGGTGCAAGAGGCTCACACCTGTCATCCTAGCTAAGCAGGAGGAAAAGATCAGGAGAATCTCAGTTCAAAGCCAGCCTGGGCAAATAGTTCCACAGGACTCTGTCTCAAAAAACTTTTCACAAAAAACAGGGCTGGTGGAGTGATTCAAGGTGAAGGCCCTGATTTCAAGCCCTAGTATCACAAAAAAAATTTTTTTTAAATTTTGATCTTCCTGACTTTTGCCACCCGAGTAGCTGGGATTAAAGGTATGTGCCACCAAGACTAGCTAACAATTTTTTTTAATGCAAAATCCTGGTAGAGCACCTTCTTTCCAAGCTCAGAGCACTGAGTTCAAACCCCAGTCTCACCAAAAATGAAGGTTAAATGTAAACCTTGGGGCACACAGAGAAAACCAAGATCTCAAGGATCCCAAGGCTTTTTTTTTCTAAGACAGGCTCTCACTATGTAGTCTACTATTGTAGACTGGCCTCACAATCCTATCCTGCCTCAGTCTCCCCAGTGTTGGGATTATAGGCATGTACCACTAGGTCTGGCTTAAAGTACTTTAAGCAAGTAATGATGTAGGTCAGGTCTGGCTTCCAGAACTCAGAACTGGACTAGTCTTCAGATGGCATTTTTAAGGAAAGGTATTAGCTAAATAGTCCAAGAGATTTTAGCACTATGAATTTTCATAGCCACACAACCATCTAAGTGATCTGTAGAAAAACCGATGGTCACCGGGCACTGGTGGCTCATGCCTGTAATCCTTGGTACTCAGGAGGCAGTGATCAGGAGGGTCACAGTTTTGGGCAAGTAGTTTTTGAGACCCTATATCAAAAAAATCCTTCACAAAGAAAGGGCTGGTAGAGTGGCTCAAGGTGAGTTCAAGGCCCTGAGTTTAAGTCCCAGTACCACCAAAAAAAAAAAAAAATTGCAAAAGCTCATCTACCACAATCAATCATTCTGCTCCTGTTGTCCTAAATATCTGCATTCAGGGACAAATCTTAATGTTTTACTTTACTTTGGCCACAGGTACAGGCTTCTTTATATTATTATACCAAAACTATATTCTTATTAGTTAGCCTCATCTAGAATTTTACAAATTCCCTTCAATATTGTACTTCCTAGCTTCCTCCTTACAAAACTGGGAAAAGAAAATTCACTAAAAAAAAAAAAAAAAAAAAGAAGTATGGCTTATATTCCCAAGCCTCAGGTAACTAAGGTAAAAGGATCAGGAGTTTGAGACAAGCCTGGGCAGACCCTATCTCAAAAAGCGAAAGTTTAAAAAAAAAAAAATAGGAAATACTACACAGGACAACTCTAACTATCTCTAAATATAAAAAAGAGACTGAGTTACAGAATTGACTTGATCTTTGAGACTCTAAACAATCTGAAGAAATTCACAAACTTTTAACTATTCAATCACAATGTTTCATACCAGAGAAATATAACTACAAAAAGCAAAAGAATATTCAAAATCCTGTATAACCCTCTAATATGAAATTTCTATGTTCAGAGTCTGGCACTGAAAGTAAAAATCACCTCTTAGGCACTTTACCCATCACCCTTCAATGGAAAGCACAGTGGTTTTCATATGAGAATGGTCTATATACCTTGTTAAGTTCTTCTATTCTTCTGATTAGGTATGGGTTGCTGGAGGAATTCTCAAAGTAGACATAATCTGTAATCAAAGGAATTTATAGAATTTAATCTGTACAAAAGAAAGTTCACATTTGGCAATCCCTGGATTTCTACATGAGGCACTTCGAGTTATTAAGCAGGTAATACTTTCATTGGTAATGCAACCTTAACAGACTATCTCTGGTACTCACTATTCACAGACCTTTACTTTCCTGGCATTTCCATTTCAACTGTTTTAGCAAGTTCTCCCAGTCCTTTGCTCTACATATCATTTCCTCCTTTTTTGTTGTTTTTGTTGCTCTTTTTCTTGGGGGGAAGAGGAGTCGTTTTGGGTCATACTAAAGTTTGAACTCAAGGTCTTGTGCTTGTTAGGCAGACACTCTACCACTTCAGCCACATCCCCAGCTCCCTCCCCCCTCACTTTATTTTATTTATTTTTTTTTTTTTTGAGAAAGGGTCTCACTATATAGCCAGGCTGGCCCTAAACTTGCTATCCTCCTGTGTCAGTCTCCCAAGTACTGAGATTACTGCTGTGCACCACCATGCCCAGCTTAATTCATTTCTTTAATAAAGAAAAGGACACCTCTTTCCATCACTAAATAGTGAGGGCTCACTAAACTCATTATTTATAAACTGCCTCCACTTACTGCCTCCACTTCTTCTCCCTCAAGCTAATTTGCCCTGGAGTCTGCTTCTTACATAAAACTGTTGACTTAAGACAAATTCTGAGCAAGAAGGCTTAACAGTCCAACTTACATTTCAATCACCGATTTAAAAAAATCAGGTGGACAGAGAAGGAAAGAGGAAGCTGGTGACAAACTTTTCCAAAGCTCTACCTGGGAAGATGAAGAAACAGGGGGAAGAAGGGCCACTGGCTGAGAGACCAAAACCCTCCAGGGGAATTTTTTTCAACCTTTTAGCATATTTAATCCACACTCTTGCTGTAAAGAAATCATTGCAGGCTGTCACCAAAAAGGACTGCAATTTTCTAGGGTGGCTTTTTGTCTCATCTCACAGGTTCACTGGAAACGTCCCACTGTGTGTTTATTTGAGCATGGACTGCATTACTACGGTCCACCTTCATGGCTCTTTCCCGGTTCTCTTCTGCACTGCAAAGTGGCCTCATTTAGCCAGGTCATTCCCATCTCCATCCATCAGGAGCTCAGCTGAAGAGCCGAGAAGGAAGAGCAAGTCTCACTCACAAACACGCCACTTATCTGAATTATTATTTTACCAGGAAAGAGGAGGAGGGCGTCGTGAGCAGGGAGAAAGTTTGTTTGACCTTATTTCTCTCTTCTGCACAAGGCTGGGAAGGCACAGCAAACGTCCAGGCTGAGTTCAACTCCCCATCTTGGGCTGCGGGTCCCTGACCCTACTCAGCCCCATTTTTTTTTTTTGGGTGGGGGGGGGGTGGAGGACTGAACAAGAAACCAAAGGCGGAGGGGGGGGCGGTGAGGAAGGAAAGGAAGGTGCAGGGCCCTAGCCCTGAGAACAGGCCTGTCCAGCTGTGTCCCACGCTGGGGCCCCATCGTCCACGCCCCCACCCCACCCAGCCACTGAAAGGGTACTGGAGAGGGAGGGACTGTCCCCACGTTCCCCACCCGCAGTGTCTAGAAGCCACGCGAGGAAAAGGCCACCCGGTTGGGGGGGGCTCGACGGGCCCTACTCCCATGGGGGTTCGTGGAGGGGGATGTGAATTTACGCCCCCAGCAGAAGCCTGGCCCTCGGAGCCCAGGCACAGGGTGTGGGGACGCGGCTAGCCCCGGGCCCGTGCGGGCCACCGTGGGGGAGGGGACGAAGGGTGGGGGCGGGGAGCCCGGCCCCCCGCGGGCCCTGTGCCGCGGGCCCCTGCGCCTGCAGTCAGCGTGCGCTCGCCCAGAACCCCCATCCCACAGCCGGTCCCAGACAGGCTGGGTCGGGCCGAGCCTTCCTACCTCCGACCCGGTACATGTTGGCCGCCATGTCCGCCCGCCCGCCCGCGGAGCCCGAGCCGAGCCCCGCCCGCTGCTGCCGCCGCCGCCGCCGCCGCCGCCTCAGCCTCGACCGCCGTCGCCGCCGCCTCGCCGCGGGGGAGGGGAGGGGGAGGGGGAGGGAAGGGGAGAGGAGGGGTGGGGACGCCGAGGGAGGGGGTGGTGCCGCCCCCGGCGCCAGGAGGCGGCCGAGCTGCGGGAGGCGGGAGGCGGGGTGGGGGGCGGAGGGAGGAGGGGAACCGGGCCGGGGGTCCCCTTCCAACCCTACCAGGACCAAAGCAGAAGCTGCCTTCTCGAATGCGGGCCCGGGGCTGAGGGAACGCTGGGTGGGGGGGCGGAGCACCCCGTCCCCTGCCCCAGACAGGGTCCCCTGCCCCGCCCTGTGTCGCCCCGGAGCCCCAGGATGTGTGACCTCGAGCCCCGGCTCAGTGCGGACTCCCCTTGCTATTTTAATAAGGGCGCCGTCCTCGTGGGGAGCTACTGTGGCCGCTCAGAGCCCGCAGGCCCCTGAACCGAGGAGACCCCACCACGAGTGTCCAGCTTCCCCGGACCCAGACCCTGCGGGGGACAGAGCTGTAAAAACTGGCTCCCTCCCTAACCTAAGCGCGCCCACCACCACCCCGGGGCCGCACAGAACCCACTGCCCCAACAGGAAGAGAACTTCAGAGCCCGGCTTCCGCTGTCTGTGGGGGAACAGGGCCCCTGCAACTCACCACCACCCCAAAGGAGGAGATACTGCCATTTTGCTGCTGATGCGGTTAGCCGGTTATCTGTCTAAAGCTTTTAAGTGGTTATTTTCCCGTGCTAATTCTCTAGACGATCCCTGTTCTCACAGCCCTCATACCCTCAGAGAGAGAAAAATTGACTAATTTTTGGGTGGGTGTTGGAGGAAAAAGGGGGAAGCACTGGGGTTTGAACTCAGGGCTTCACGCTTGCCAGGCAGGCACTCTTACTGCTTCAGCCACTCCACAAGCAAAATGTCTCTAAAAGTCGAGTGTGATGGGGAGGGAAGCCAGAAATCCCAACACCAGGGAGGCTGAAGCAGGAGGATTACAAGTTCAAGGACCGCATGGGCTACATAGTGAGTTCAAGCTAGCCTAGACTAATGAGACCCTCTCTGAACAACAATAAAGAATCTTTCATGACAGATTATCCCCAAATGAACACAAATAACTTTCTATTCCAAACTACACGCAGACATCGTTGCATAATAAGCATGAAGGTGATCCCTGACTATCCTGGGTTGTTTGGAGTGTCTAGTGATACAGTTGTGTGCTAGTGATTTTTTTTTTTTTGATGGGACTGGAGTTTGAACTCAGAGCTTCATAATTGCAAGCAGGAGCTCTACCACTTAAGCAACACCTGCAGTCCATTTTGCTGTGGTTATTTTGGAGGTGGGATCTTGTGAACCGTTTGCCCAGACTGGCCTCAAACTGCAATCCTCCCAATCTCAGCCTCAGTATAGGATTACAGGTGTGAGCCACCATCACTCTGTTGGTCAGCGGTTGCCTTGCCTTGTGATGCTCAGTCATCGTAAATCCTGAGGTGAAGAAAATAATGTTCTGAATAGCTGAGGCAAAGTTAATAAGCCAATAAATAAAGCAGCTTTGCCTGAATTATGTTGATTGATTCTGTAACGTGTTTTCTCATCTGTAAAATGGGGATGCTAATCTCACTTCACAGGTGTGCAAAGGATCAGTTGTGATGATATCTGGAAGTGCTTTGTAAACCAGAGAGCTGAACACACTATGCAAATAACAGGTGTCTGTTGCTTTCTTTTTAACCCCTGAAAGCCGCAGATTCCCAAGGGTTTCATACCATGTATCAAATTGTGAATCCCAGTCAGATCTGACCAGAGGAGAAAGCAAAAGTGTTCACTGATGCTCACTGCATAGCTGTTGTTTATCATAATTCTTTTACTGGACGTCCCACCACAAGCATACTGTGACATATCTCACATCACTTATTATTTCTGAGCTGACACACAGGCCGAATAATTTACTGGAGGCATGCAGCAAACTGGCAGCAGAACTGGAATTGTAATTCAGCCTTTTCCTCTGGCTGAGAATACTATGAACCACAAAGCTTTGCTCCTAGCAAAGGAAATGGAACACAAGTTTTAGGATGTTTTCCCATTATTTTTTCAATAAAAGAACAATTTCTCCTCCCTGAAAATATTTCTGTATTTTTGTTAGTTCCCTATCTACCTGTCTCATTTCCCCAGCTTTGCACTATTTACTAGATGTTTGTGGTCACTACTAACTGCAATAAATGTATTAAAGGTGTCAAGAACCTGCTCCAAGTCCTCATTCATCTCTTCTCCTTGGAAATAGCCTTATCCAGAGCCCCCATTACAGGTTTAGAGACTTGGAGGAAGAGCAGGAGGTAAGGGTGGTGGCAGGACCGGACTCCTTTGCTTCCCCTAGATTCTGTGTGTTTAGCGTCTTCCACATAGATGCTCAGTATTTTCAAGAATAAATGCAGGCTGACACTGGTAGCTCACTACTGTAATTCTAACTATTAGGGAGGCAGAGATCAGGAGCTTCACAGTTCAAAGCCACACCAGGCAAATAGTTGGAGAGACCCTATCTCGAAAATACCCAATACAAAACAGGGCTGGTGGAGAGGCTCAAGTGATAGACCTCCTCCCTATTAAGTGTGAGTCCCTGAGTTCAAACCCTAGTATTGCCCCCCAAAACTAATAATAGAATAAATGCAATTTACTTAATCCCTCCAAGCCTCCAACTCTACAAACTATGACTAGCCATGAATATCTAAGTAAAGGTTTGTGGTATCATTTAAATGTATAAAGTTTTTGCCACATGTTGAAAATTTCTTTCTTTTTTTTTTTTTTTTTCTGGTACTAGAGTTTGAACTCAATGCCTACACCTTGAGCCACTCCACTAGCCTTTTCTTGTGATGGATTTTTTTTTTTCAAGATAGGGTCTCTTAAACTGTTTGCCTGGACTGGGTTTGAACCAAGATCCTCTCTACCTTCTGAGTAGCTAGGATTATAGGTGTGAGCCACTGGTGGCCAGCTGAAAATTTTATATTTTTTAGGCCCCTTCTCTCTCCAGCCATTCTCGTTCATCACTAAGGAAGAAGTGTCTCTCAGACCATGTCAGAAATCCCAACCCACATCCAGCCTCCCATGTGTAAAATTTCCTAGTATGGCTATTGTGATGAAAGAAACATGGAAGGGACTGCTCTGAAGGACAGAGGTGTCCCCTCTGTCAATCTACAGCATCCCACCAGTTAGCCGAAAGACAGTGGATGCTGCAAGAAAGCTATAGATGAGACAGAGTTGGTTTTTGTCTCAATTTAGGGATGGAGTTTTTATATGGGGATGGAGTTTTATAAGAGTGTACTGATATTTAATTTAGGAAAGGAGCCTGGGGGGCTAGAATGTAATTAATCTGAAGCCAGAGGCTAGGCTTTGGATAAGGGACTATATCTTACTTGTGTTTTCTATCATTTGTTTCTTCTCCCCTCCCCCTTTTTTATTAACTTATTTTCTTTGTTAGTAACATTCTTTTGGAAAAGGTTGAGCTATGTCAGATATTCTAGGGAGGTCCTGGGCTTTAAAAGTGGACTAATGAAACCCAGAAGAGAGAAAAGCATGTGACAGCAACAACCAAAACAAGAAAGATCCTAAGGGAAAGGAAAGCAGAGTAAGGAGTTTTACAGTTTCTCAATCATGGATCTTCTGGTTCCTGTGCTAAAAACATGAAATCCAGGACCAATCCCAGGCAATCCTGATTTTCTGAAGCATGTCTTTTGGCCGCCCCCCGCTCCTGTTTTTTTTTTTTTCTTTTTTTTTGAGGTACTAGGGTTTGAATTCAGGGCCTTAACACTTGCTAGGCAGATGCTCTACCACTTGAGCCACTCCACCAGCCTGAAGCATGTCTTTGGGGATCCCAAAATTCCTTTATGCCCTCAATCAGCAGGGTAGTCATTTAGCTGCGTATACAAGGAGGTTCCTTCTCTAGAGGCAATATTGCCTCCATGTAGTAGAAAAGGGACCGAAAGTCACAATGGGGACAGAAATGAGCCCCCCAGATAGTTAATCTAATTGCTCCTGGTGTTTCCCTATTTAGCCTGCTGTAGATTTGAATGAGACAAGGCTGGATGGCATAGGTTGTGGAGTTAGGAGAAAGAATCCTAAAGAGCAATGGGAAATGTGGAAGGGACATAACAAGGAATGTTTGCAAGGGTGAGTCAGGCAATAGCACAGAGAGTGACTCAGAGACGGGGGAGAGTCCAGGCCAGAAGGTCAGATGGCAGGCTGGTGAGAGGTAGTGATGACCTACCTAGCCTAGAGCAGAAGCAGTAGTGAGAAGAGAAGTAGAAGGGTTTGGGATTTAGAAGGGAGGAGCTATAGGATCTGGTGACTGAGAGGCATGGAGTCAAAGGGTGGTGACAAGGCTTATGTGGGACTGAGTAGATAGAGATAAGTGAGTAGAGAATACAGAAGGAGAGGCAAAATAGTGAGCAGGCTCAGTGTTGGACAGGCTGTGCCAAGGTGCCTTTGAAAACCTCTAAGTAGATGTTTCCTCGTTAGGAAACAGTTGAATGAATAGGCCTGGAGTGCAGGAGAGAGATCTGAGCTGAAAACATCGTCTTCTGTGTCGCCATCAGTCCACAGCCCTGCCTGTCTGGTCTAAGAACTAAGTTGAATCTTGGCCCCAGGGGAAGAAGCAGGTTCCCTGGGTTCTTCAGTTTGAGCAGAAACAGGTCTAACAGGTTGGACTCAGGGAATCACAGTCCAGTTCCAAATGTGCAAACAGGCAGGGCATGGGCAGAGCCACACAAGTCACCACTGCCCAAGGCAGATGACGAAATCAAAGAAGGCCCAGGACTGCCCATCTCACTAGGGCCAGTGAGCACCATACTTGCACACATTTGATAAAGTTCTGCCTCAACCCTCAATCCTTCCACCCAGCTATGGATAGCAGCTGTGGTAGGAAGGGGAGGATAGAACAGAAGAAGAGAGGGGACAAGGCCTGAAAAAGCAAATTTGACAATTTCCTACCTCACGCTTGTCCCTCTAAAATAGTGCAGTACGTTGAATGCTTATCCCTTCCAACCCCAGCAAAGAAAAAAAAAGTGTGTGCCTAAGGGGGACACTGAATTTGACCTTATTTGGAAAAGGGGTGTTTGCAGATGTAATTAAATT